AATTTTAAAGATGTAATGAATATAAGGTGGTAGCATTACCTATATATCCCATTGCAGTTGTGGCAGTTAAGTCTCTGAACCCCTGAGCTAATGCAGTTTTAGAGAATGTTTACTCACTAAGGAATAAAAAAGAAACGTGCTTTGCAGAGTAACATGGCTCTGCACCCCCTCTGTCTGGTGAGGTCCAGAGGCAGGAAGATTTCCTCCTCTTCTTTTGAGTCTCAAGAGGAGTGTGTATTTTCTCTGCATTGCATACACTTCAGTTTCATGTGAAATGAAGCTAGAAATCTCTCCGCATCCCAGTGTTTCTGCAGTCTGGTAGCAAAAGGAAAAGTCTGTCCCCATGCCCCCATTTAAAAGAATGATGGAAGTTTGCGTTGAAGTTATGGTGAACCTTGGAACTAATAAGAAAGCCATGAGATTTTGTAACAGATGAAGGCAGCTGTGGACAGAGCTGTGGATATATCATTGCCAGATTCAGCCACTGGCTGAAATATGCCTCGTTTTCTGGTTGGTGTTTTTGATTTGGAGGATTCAGAGGATAATGGGATTGGCAGAAGAACCAAGCTGTTAGCCCCAGCTTCTTCCAATCTAGCAGTTTAAAAACATACAAATGTGAGTAGATCAATAGGTAATGGTACTCCATGCTGGCCACATGACCTAGGAGGTGAATACGGACAACATTGGCTCTTTGGCTTAGAAATGGAGATGAGGGCCACCTCCCAGAGTCAGACATGACTAGACTTAATGTCAAGGGGAAACCTTTACCTTTACAGCCTAGGAGCTTAGGAGAAAGGCCAGGAAAAAACTTGTAGAGAAGAAGGCAATATTAATAGGTGGCAAAAAAAGAAAAGACTACACAGTGTAGCATAGGGCTCTTGATCCAAATTGGAAAGTTGAGTTAGAATTACTTGCAGTATGGAGCCATTTCTGCAACCAATTATCATTCCTTATTGTTTCATTCAATTTTAATTAGATACAGATTTTAGTCAATAAAATGATTTAAAAACTCACAAATAACTAGTAGATGATCTGCAAATTTGGTCTGCAAGATTTTTATATTATTTACAGAAGTTCCCATGATGTCATACTGAGAAATGGGAAATACCAAAAACCAAACCAAAACTGATTTTGTTTTGTTCGGCATATTTGCCTTGCAAATACAATCAATTCAGCACCCTTTTTAGGAATAGGAGTAACATTTAACAAAATCTGAAATACAAAACATATTTACTAAGAAGTAATTTTATGGGAGGCCAAGAAGCTTGGGTTGTTGTACAAATATGGTTAGAACTATACATGGACAAAGAATAACCAAGTCTAACTTCCTTCCCATGAAATCATGGGACCTTCTGTAAATAATGCAGAAATGCAGCAGACCACATTTTCAGATAAGTATTTATGTATTTTAAAATCATTCTTATTGAATAAAATCTATTCAAAAGTAAGGATGCGTATAAGAAATTACCCAGATTTTTTTTTTCTGGTTTGCTGAAATGTTTTACAGGAGCATCAGTAATGTATGCTTGAACATGCTGGTTTTTTTTGGGAACTGAAGAATATTTGGTGGTGCAGAAAGGTTAAATAAATAAGGATTTTAGGAGGAAATCATATCTGAAGCAAAGAATAAGGGCACATGGACAAAAGTTATTTATGAAATTCAGTATTCTGACATGTTTTCTTCTTAGTTGAAAACAAATAGAGCTGAATCCATGGCATAAGTGAACTGCAGAATTATAATGGAGTGGAAGTGGAGGAAAAATCTAACCTATGAAAAGATACTATACCAAGTCCTAGATCATTTTGTCTTGGCATTTAAAAAATTAAAAATAAACAGGGATCAATCAAAAGGTGAAGGGCTCATATGAGATAATATACCTTTTCAGCTTATTTCTTCTTTAATTCTTTGCACATAAAATACTATCCCACAACAGATATGCTTTTAATGTCACAGGGTAAACAAAGAAATGTCACTGCAAAGGTATGTTTGTACAGTGAATTGAAGATAAAATTATCTAGATTATTAGGCAGCATTCGATTGTTTGTACCACTGTATAACTAAATAATTGAGTTTAGAAGTAACTGTTTGCATTAGGTAAGGATGTTACAAGTGGGATTTTAAACAATCTCCTGAAAAAACACAACACAGATCTTTGTTCTAGCAGGTATATGTTGAGGCTTGAGTACAATAACTCTATCGCAGCACGCCTTTGCATGATGAGTGGTGCTATGCAACGAATACTAACTTGCTTATATGCCACATTAACTGCTGTTACCTATACGTGCCTTTTTAAAAAGCATTTTTGAAATACACCATAGCAATGTCAATTCATTCCTCACTCCAGCACAGGGTCTCACAAATTACCCCATATACATTTATGAAGAAAGTAGAAGTATTTCCCTCATTTAGCCATGCATTTAGTGAGCTTATATATCTGATTGGATGGAATTGTCTATGAGCACAGCAGGACATTAAAATGAGTAATTCAGTAAATATTTGCTGTCGGAGTCTAGATATTTAAAAATGCTGTTTAAGTGTTTCTTTGCTAAATGGCTTCCAGAAAAACTCAGCAATTATGAGGAAAATTGATGTGCAGGATTACATAGCCATATCACCTAGGAGAATCCATAGGCATTGGATTATGTGTGCATATTGCTTTTTTATCATTTGTATAAATATTTATAGCTCTGCATTGCTATCAGAGAGTAAGCTCCACTGAACTCAGTAATACATACTTCTAACTGCATACATTCATTGTGTAAAAAAAGACTGAACTACAGCTACCAAAAATTCAACTTTGAGCATATCTTTATAAATTCAAGCAAACTTGCAGAGAAGTATCACCAAATAAATGGATGCATTTAGTAATCAAATAAAGGAAAGGAAAAGTACCCAGCCTCTGTTTGGCCATTTTTATCATTTTGTGGATTCTTCTGCACTGATCTATCACAGATACCAGCAATGCTTGAAAGCATTATTGCCATTGCTTGCTACAGCAGGAAATGCCCATCAGAGACCGTACAGCTCCAGCTCAGAAAAAGGTTTCGGAGCTGAAACCTTCGCGTTGTTCCTCTGCTATAGTACTAGAGAGGCCACAGCAATTCCTTTGCGTCTCTAATAATGCTATCACTCACATAAATAATTTCACAACTAGTGATCAGCATTCTACACCAGCTACTTAACTGCATAACTAGCCGCTCTTGGAACTTTATCCCTCAAACCATGAGTATCTGTCATGAATATGGAACAATTTACTTATCTGTAGCTATTTTATACAGGATCAGTACTTAGGGCCTACTATATTAATGCAGTTTGACACCACTTTAATTGCCATAGCTCAGTGCTATGCAATCATGGGAATTGTAGTTTGAAAGGCACCAGCACTCTTTAGCAGAGAAGGTTAAAGACCTTGTAAAAGTACAATTCTCATGATCCATAGGATTGAATCATGGCAGTTAAATTGTTGTCAAACTACATTAATTCTACACATATCTTTGGTTACTTAGTTAAGTATAATGAGAGTCTTTTTGACCGCAAAACAGATGTAGAATACTGGGCAACATTCACAGAAGTTTTGAAAGTATTCTATTTTGCCTATTATTGGGCTCCATGGTTGAAAACTTCCATACACACATTGCCCAAAATGTATTTTTCTGCAGAATGTCAAGCCTACTTTTAAATCTAGGAATTCTCAGTTATCTGTCATGATAGTCATAATAGCAGCAGATTGGCTAACACTTTTTAATGAATATAAAACTTCTGTATTCAGAAAAATAATACCATCATAACAACAAGGGCTCATAAAAACTAAGGATATTCTTTATGAACAATTGTTTTATTGTGTTGTCAAAGGCTTTCATGGCAGGAATCACTGGGTTTCTGTGAATTTTCTGGGCTGTATGGCCATAGTCCAGCAGCATCCTTTTCTGACATTTCACCTAAATCTGTTGCAGGCATTCTCAGAGGTTGTGAGGTACCTCATAGCCTCTGAGGATGCCTGCCATAGATGTGGACAAAACGTCAGGAGAGAATTCTTCTGGAACATGGCCATCTTGAAAATATAGAAGTGATATGAAAGCAACCCCCCCCCCCAAAAAAAACAGGTGTTCAGCAAGAACACTGTTTAATACTATGCAATGTGAAACCTAAATGTGTGCATGAGACATAAATAGACATTGGGCATGGACATTTCTTAATTATTCTAGAACTAAAATAGCCAAACCAGCCTGTGTCTGTAGCATCTATGAAATCTATTTCTTTTAAAACAAAATATCATGAACTTTAAACTTGCATCTTGTGTCCACTGTATTTTAATAATTGTTATGTATATTTTAATATATACATTTTGTAGAAATGCATTTTAATGTGTTTATTTTATATAATGATTATTTGTTTTGAGCTATGTTGTAACCCACCTCGACTTATGATATAATAATTGTAAAGCCGCTTTGAGCCCTCTTCGGGGTAGAGAAAGGTGGGATAGAAATAGAGTAAATAAATAAAATAAATTAGATAAATAAGAGGGAAGGTCAAGGACTAAAGAGAGAGCATGCACACCCTGCTGAAATGTATATCATGAAAGAAGTGCAGTTTTTTTCTTTTGAAGGTGTAATACATCATAGCATATTTATCTTATGGAAAACAAATCTAAAGGCACCAGACCCTAGTCGCTAAGCCCTGCTTTGTATTTGGATGGGAGACTGCCAATGAATACCAGGTGCTGTATGCTGTATTTCAAATTGAGGAACTAGCAAAACCATCATAGAGTATTCCTTGTCCAAGAAAATCCCATGAAATTAATGGGGCCATCATAAGTTGACAGATGGCTTGAAGGGGTGTGCATGCACAAAACCCACCATTTTTTTAACCAAAGAAATTGAAGTGATATTGTTTGGGCTTGGATATATATATATATTTAGAAATTACACCAATATATGCTTAATAGTTTACTAGATAGTAAGTTTTACTAAATGATTCCCTTCTCTTTTTTTCTTGACAGAGTCGGAGGACATTTTAATCACAGTCACTGCCCTTTTGGCCTCATTGAATAGCTGTTGCAATCCATGGATCTACATGTTCTTCAGTGGCCACCTTCTGCAGGACTTCGTACAAAGCCTTTTGTGCTGCCGAAAAATGAAGCAAAGGCTGAATAAAGAAGATTCTGAGAGTTACAGCCGGAAACAGACGTCTTATACCAATAACAGAAGTCCAACAAACAGTTTGGACACATGGAGTGAATCCCAACATTTCTCACAATCAATTAAGTTCATGCCTATTTCTTCATAAAAAATAATAATTTTACAAACTGTTCAGCACTTCAGCACTTTAACAATCAGTTTTCATGTGGTCAAAGAACTAACAAGATGATAGCAAAACAAAAACCGATTTTAATAAATATGGTGGTTTTGCATTGATGTAAATGAAACTTGTGGATTTTTCTGTAAAAATATATGGCTATGTATTCAAGAAAACTGAGAAAATAGATCAATACATGTAATATTTTTCTAAAAGAATATCAGCTTTAAATGTTTACTCTCACCATTAAGTATATACCATTAAGTATATGTGTAACACTAAATGCGGTTCTTTCATCACAATAAAAATATTTGCCAAATCCTCCCTTTCTATGAAGTCTTGTGTGTAGTTTTAAAGAAGCTCTCATAAAAATCACCCACTTGTCACTGAGGTAACTAAGGACTGCAACATTGAAATATATAACAATGCAAATGATCTTCTGGGCGTAAAAGTGCAAAAAGAAATCAGTAGTTCCCAACAGAAAAATGTCATAAATACCATTGCCATTATGGTTGCACAAAACCACTGGAGTGTCTAAGTATAAAATGTAAATAGCCAACTGTTTATACAAATCCTTTTGAAAACAAAAAGTTCTTAAGTGAATCAACCCCAAGTAATCTAAAATATTTAGAGTTCCAGCCAGTAAAAGCTTTCAAGTGTCAGAGGAAGAATTATGTGAAAATGAGAAACGGAGGGAATGGTACTAGGAAACTTGTGTGCATTAACACTGCTGTGTACATCACAACTTCTGTATGACTTCTCATGCAAGATGCTCATAGACTCTGGTAATGGACTTCCATGCTAGTCTTGGCTAAAATGAGTTAGTCTTATCTGTGTTTTTATCATTCCAGTGGATCTATTCCATAATGCTCTACGACTGCCATGAGGGCAAACTAAAGAGAACATTATACTCCAAAAAATATGGAGTGGATCTCGTTAGATGCCAACACTGTGGTGTACAGTTCCAATAGAATTGATGATTTAGTCCATAAATGTATATTTGAGTACAATTCCCTACTTATTAAATTTTAATTATGGCATTATTCTCAGTAAGGAGACCACTGCCTCTCTGCTAACAAACTAATGTTTTCCAACATAATTTTTAACCTGGGTGAGCCTATGGGATCCCTCTCAAGATATTCCCCAAGTTCTCCAGCTCTCCCATTTTCTGGCCAAAAAAAGGGAGATAGGAATCACCTTTCCTAGGGACCTCCAGGAATGGCAATTCACAAATTTAAGCAGTTTGCAGACCCCCCCCCCACATTTTTACATTTTAAAATCCCAATTTTTCAAAACCACAAGTAGACTTTGACCATTTCATAGAATCATAGAATAGAGTTGGAAGAGACATTGTGGGCCATCCAGTCCAACCTCTTTCCAAGAAGAAGGAAAATTGCATTCAAAGCACCCCTGACAGATGGCCACCCAGTCTCTGTTTAAAAGCCTCCAAAGAAGGTGCCTCCACCACACTCCAATTGAAGAGAGTTCCACTGCTGAACAGCTCTCACAGTTAGGAAGTTCTTCCTTGTGACGAAATGAAAGTCATGTGTAGTTCACGTTTGATCAGCCCACACAATTCCTTGCCAGAGAGAAAATATGCCATGCAGATGAATAATAAAGAACAAATAGTTTACTCTTCATAGTTTCAGAACAATATATTTACAATCATGTGATCAGATGCATTGACTCACATAATGTCCTTTTTATGGGAGATTTAAAATGGTCTTTCTTTGTCCATGTGGATAACCTTCCAAACTCTTTCTCTCTCTGCTTCTTTCTTTGGACTGTTATTGCACTGCACCTGCATAGCTCAAGCTGGAACAAAAATGTAACAGTATCCAAAAGTCCCAGGGTTAGCTATCACCCCGGGAGTAGCCCGACCAATCAGCTTCATGCATCTTATTTTAAGTTGACATGCACACACTCTAACCGATTTCTTACATACTCTAATATGCCTAATGTTCAGGTGGAATCTCCTTTCCTGTAGTGTGAAGCCAGTTCCACATCCTAGTCTCCAGGGCAGCAGAAAACAAGCCTGCTCCCTCCTCCCTATGACTTTGTCTCACATATTTTTACATGGCTATCATGTCTTCTCTCAACCTTCTCTTCTACAGGTTGAACAAGCCCAGCTCTTTAAGCCGCTCCTTATAGGGCTTGTTCTCCAGACCCTTGATCATTTTAGTCACCCTCCTCTAGATGCATTCCAGCTTGTTAACATCTCCCTTAAAATGCGGTGCCCAGAATTGGACACAGTATTCCAGGTGTGGTCTGTGCAAGGCAGAATGGAGGGGTTTTCAATTGTTTTTTTCATCCCTTATTTTGGATGTTTTTCATAATATTTGTGGAGCTTGCATGATTATGGGGGGGGGGGGATCCCTGATCCATTAAAAAAAGAGCTAACATTTTATCCTATTAGGAATATTGGAAAGGAAGGAGCTCAGAAAACCTGAACGGGAGGGAAAGGCTCCAAAAGAATCTCAGTCTTCACTTGGGCCATGTAAATTATGGCAAATGCCAAATGAGCCCTTTGTGTCTGCTGCAGCCCATATGACACTGAATTGGTCTTCCATCTGTCCCTACATTGCAATTCAAAGAATCTCATACAAGATCAGGAAATCAGTTATTTTAGTGTCATATCTCTTTCTAGATGATTACCTTTTTGTTTTAGAGAAGAACACAAAATTAATTTAGTATTCCAAATGAAGACAGGAAGACTGAAACAACAAAAGAAAGCAAAGGATATAGGACCTGCCTCACTGATTTAGTCAAAAGCAAACAAGAGGGAAATAAATATATAGGTAACAAGAAAATATTATAAAATTATGATAATACTATCAGGTAATCTATATTATTTAGTACAAATTTAGTAACAATAGATATGTACATCTATGGGGCATGAAATCTACAACCTTATAGAGGCAAGACAAATGTTTGCTCTTTTTCTTGATTTTTTTTTTACTGATGGCGTAAACTGATGGGAAGAACTAGAAGATTAGAAAAAAAAAACCTGCCCATTGCAAAAGGCAAGTCAAAATATGTTTGACCCTTGTTTTATTGAAGTCGTGTTAAAATCTTGGGCATTCAGTCTTCTTTTGCTTACAGATTCAGCTTCAGTGTACCTTTAGACTGGATGATTGAGTCAACCACTGGAATTCAGAACTGGATATAACAGAATATAACTGTTTTTCTTGTGTACTATATAGAATACTTTTATCAAAAGAATTTTGCTTTCTTGATTGATTCTCTGTAGCTCGTCTCTGGGTGCCATGTAAGAGTAAAGAAGTATTTTTTGCCTACGAAAACCCATTACTCTGATGGCTTATATTAAGTTAGCAGATAAAATAAACCCCTGGCTTTTCTCAGCAGTACTACTGCCTATGTGATTATCCCACTGGGCATTTGTTTTCATTTGATTTTCTTATCTACAGTAGCACCATACATTTTTCTCTCTCTGAAATGCTACTTGATGGTTCCAAAATATAAACATTCACAGTGCTCTATATCAAGAGATCTCAAAGTGGCTTAGATATAGCATTAAAACCAGTTAAGCAGGTGAAAAACAGAAAGAGTTTAAATAAGCTATAATGTATTAAACAATGCAATGACTTAGCAACATATTTCAAAAATTAAAAGTTAATTAAACTATACAATAGTTCTTAAGTTGAATCAACCAGGCCCAAAAAACTGAGGAACAACCAAGTTTTAACTTGGTGCCTAAATGATAGAAATGTGGGTGCCAGTTGGGCATCTGATGGGAGAACATTTCAGAGTTGACATGACACACCTCTTTCATGTCCTGACACGATGTACTGAACTCACTGGTGGAAAACATAGGAGGACCTCCCCAGCAGAATGAAATCCTTGGACAAGCATAGTATCAAGATCCCAAATTGTCCAGGGCATTAAATATCATAACAAGCAGCTTGTGTTCTGATTGGAAACATATTGCGAGAAAATTCTTTTTTTTTTTTTTGAAGACTGACATTACTGACTGATGGATATTCCATTTAACAGGCAACCTGCTGCATTTTCCACTAGTTGCATTTTCTAAGGCAGGATCTACACTGCCCTATATCCCAGGATCTGATCCCAGATTATCAGTTTTGAATTGAATTATATGAGTCCCCAGTACCATATAATCTGGGATAAACAGATAATCCAGGATCAGATCCTGGGATATAGAGCAGTACAGAAGGGGCCTGAGCCTTCTTCAATGGCAGCCCTGTGTAGAATACACAACAACAACAACAACAACTTTATTTATATTCTGCCTTATCTCCCCCAGGGAATTCGGGTGGCTTACAAGGCAATAATTAGACTATTGTAATTTAGACTACATAGAAGTCACCAGTACCTGGATTTCAGCAGCTAGGATACCTCTCTCCAGAAAAGGGTATCGCTGTGCACCAGTCAAAATTGGCACCAAACACTCTGAACCACAGATTCAACTTGAGTGATGGAGATGAATCAAGGGGCTCTTCCACACAGCCCTATATCCCAGAATATCAAGGCAGAAAATCCCACAATATCTGCTTTGAACTGGGTTATCTGAGTCCACACTCATAATGTGGGATTTCCTGCCTTGATATTCTGGGATATAGGACTGTGTGGAAGGGCCCTAAAGTATGTATGTTCTTCAAGAGCAATGCAACCACATTCCGGATATGCTATTTACTCAATTCCCAGCCCCAAGAACCAACCGTCCACAGAACCTGCATCTTAATTATATCAAGATTCAGCTTCAGTTTGTTGGCCCTCTTCTGGTCCATTACAACATCCAGGCACTGTCCCAGCACCTTAGTAGCCCCAGTCATCTAAGATGACAAGAAGTAAAACTGAGTGTCATCACCATCCTGACGGCACCCCACTCCAAAGTCCATTATTAACTCCTCCAGCAGTTTTACATACATATTGAATAGAATGGGAGAACTTGTAGCACCCCAGAGCTTAATAGCCACAGGGCTGAACAGGAATCCCCCAGCGCAACTCCTGAATTGGCCTTCTGGATAGGAATGGACTTGCAGAAAAACAGTGCCTCCTACTCTCATTGCAGAGATCAGGTCGAATAAAGTACTATGATTAATTGTATTAAAAGCTGTTGAGAGATTCAGGAAGATCAACAGGGTAACAATCAGGGAGTAGGTCATCAATCAGACCAAGTAAGGCTGTTTTTATGCCATTATCTTGGCCTGAAACCAGGTAATCTTAATAAAGAAAAGAATTAGTCTGCTTGTCCTGTGACAAAACATTGCAAGGGCAATTAAATTTACTAAAAGAAGAAATGAAGATACGTTTTCCAGACAACTGTGGATGATTAAAAG